GCGTTGTTGACATCAAGCTGGTGGAGATGCCAGTTATGAATAACAGCAATAGTCAAGACAACCCTGACTGTTGCCGCCTTCACCACCGGGCTAAAACTATGAGAAAAGTCGAGACCGGGAATTTGACTAAAACCTTGAGCAACAAGGCGTGCTTTATGTCGATCAATAGAGCCATCGGCTAAGTACTTGGTCCGAAAAAGCCAACGGCACCCCACAACATTCGTGTTAGCAGGACGGGCAACCAAAGACCAAGTGTGATTTTGTGAAAGTGCATGCATTTCGGAGCGCATGACATCAACCCATTTGGAATCCCTAAGAGCCTCAATATGTGTTGTCGGGTCAGCAGAGGCAAACAGAGCAGCATAAAGCCCACCATCAGATGTATGAGAAATGTCTGCCCAATGCGTTGGTTTAAAAATCCTAGATTTTGCTCGAGTGGTCATGGGGTGCCCGGTAGGAGCAACGGTAGCCGGTGTCGATGGAGCAGAGGGCGAGGGGCAACAACCTCGACATCGGGTATCGACGGAGCCGAATCAGAACCCGATGCAGGTTCAGTTTCCGAGCCGTGACCAGAGTCTGAGGCAGTGAAAGAGGAGTCTGAGGCAGACACTGTAGAAGCAGGATTGGGTTGGGGGGCTCGACTGGTGATGACGGAATCGGAGGATCATCACATACAGTATAGGGAGCTGGAGGCGAGGCCGTTGGAGCGGGGTTCGAGACAGCAGCAGGCACGAACACACCCGTAAAATCATCCAAAAATGTGTGAAGTGGTAAATCAACGATTGTGGTGTGCGTGGCAGTGGTGTCAAAAGGAAAACACAAGTCATCAAACCGAGCATGACGTGTGATGTAAATGCGCGAGGATCTAGGATCGAGACATAAGTAACCTTTGTATTGGGAGTGATATCCAAAAAAACGCAGGGAATGCTTTGTGGAGACAATTTATGAGTCGAATAATCCCGCAAATAAGGGTAGGCCCGGCACCCGAACGGGCGAAAATTATCATAAGATGGCACCCGACCAAACAACATCTCAAAAGGAGAATGATAGCCAAGAACTTTCGAAGGCAAGCGATTAATAATATACACCGCGGTGCTAAAGGCATGAACCCAATAAGAGGCGGGTATGTAACCATGAAACATCATGGCAAGGCCCCTTTCAATTATATGTCGATGCTTGCATTCGGCTCGTCCGTTTTGTTGCGGGGTGTATGGACACGAAATCTGATAAAAATGCCACACAAGTTTAATAAGCCCTTCACACGATAATAAAAAATTTCGTACCCCCATCACTTTGAAAAACTTTAAGCTTGGTGGAAAATTGATTTTCCACAAAAGTGATAAATGAGACGAAAACATCATAAAATTCTGATTTGGCCTTGAGTGGATACAACCATGTAAAACGTGAATAATCGTCCACAAAAGAGACATAGGAGCGATATGAATTAACTGGCGAAACGGGTGACGGCCCCCATAGATCACAATGAACCAAATCCAATATATGTAAAGCATGTTTATTATTATTAGAAACTGACAAGCGACGAGACTTAGCAAGTTCACAAGGAGAGCAAATATTTGGTTTTGTCAACACACTAGAAACAAATAAAAGTCCAAGTTTATTTAACATAGAAATAGTGTCAAAAGACACATGTCCCAATCTGGAGTGCCAAAGTTCAAAAGAGGCACGCGGCTTGGATTCGGCAAAAAACGCATAAGATTTGGGAGAAGTGGCTAGAACATAGAGCCCACGATCACATTTTCTTTGTGCTAGGACCTGCTTTGTTGTTCGATCCTGAATAAAAAACAAAGAAGCAGAGAAAAGAACATCCACAGGATTGTCACGCGTTAGTTTACTAATGGATAATAAATGTTTGGTGAGGCGGGGAACCACCAAAACATCCTGCAAGTAAATACCATTACCAATTTTGGAAGAACCAATAGAAGAGATTCTGAGTGTATTACCATTTCCAAATTGGACCGAAGAGTCGCCACCATACGGCTCGACATTAGACACCGATCCGGTGGAAGACACCATGTGATCGGAGGCGCCGGAATCAACAAACCAATCTAGGCCGGAAGGAGTAACTTGGCACTTGGCTAAAAAAGCTTTGGCGAGATCAGCATCACGCACGGGTGAAGGGGACGCAAAAGATTGAAGTTGAGGGCACTGGTTCGCGTAGTGGCCATTTTGGCGACAAAGTTGACAATGAGGTGGTCGACGTCCACGACCTTTACCACCACGAAACGAGCGACCAGCCCGACCCCGACCACCATTCGAACTCGAGGAGGAGTGGTGTCGGCAGAAAAAGCAACCGAGGGAGTGGTGTCGCCGTGAATGGATTTGAGAAAAATTTCATGACCCTCGACCCTAGCCAACAAGTCGCGAAACCCAAAAACAGCCCCGGAAGCACGGATGGCGGTGGAAAAATTCTCAAACGAGGCACCGAGACCGCAAAGAAACCAATGGGTTTTGTCAGTTTCCTCCACCCCTTGACCAATTGCGGCAAGTTGATCACAAATGGACTTCATTTTTGGCCAAATTCTGAAACGGTGGAGGAACCCTTGGTAAGATGGCGTAGTTGATCCCGAAGATTTTGGGCACGCTCTAAGGAGGAGTTGTCGTAGGCGGCTTCAAGGGCTACCCAAATGTCACGAGCTGTTGAGAGGTCCACAATCTTAGAAAAAGCTTCTTCTGTGAGAGAAGCTTAAAGAAGAATAACAGCCCTTTGATCGGTGGAGACCCACTCTACCAAGGTCGGCTTGTTATCAACCAAATTGAGGGCGGTGGGGACGGAACGGAGCCGTCAACATGACCAAGAAGTTGTTGGTATTGTAAAAGAGGGACCATTTGATTCTTCCACAAAATGTAATTTGATGAAGAAAGGCGAATGGTGATGAGATGCAAGATGGTGTCAGACATGATGATGAAGCTGAAGGGTGAGGAAAGCTAATGGGTGGGAGAGGAAGAAGAATGGAGGGTCGGTTTTAGAGGGAGGGAAAAAGAAGGTTGGGAGTTACAAGGCTTGATACCATATGAAAGTTAATGAAAAATTCTCTGTTGCAGATACACAGATACACGATGATACATAGGTAAATAACTTACATGAACACCCCTCTAACTAATAAATAACTTACATGAACACCCCTCTAACAAATGAATATATACATAATGGTACAAGAACTATATTTATCTAATAGGCTCAATTAATTTAATGGCAATAGGCTCAATTAAGTCAATAGTAATGGTTTGCTAGCAGGCATCTATGTGTGAACTAAAAAACAAGAGGTTGAATGAAATTTTTTTTGAAGTAATGCATGTAATTGGTTTTTAAACTAATAATTAGGTAAGAGGCTCGATTAATTTAGTGGCAATGCGTTCAATTAAGAAATGGTAATGGGTTTGGAAGGAGCCTTCTATGCTTGAATTAAATAAAAACAAGAGGTTGAATGAAAAAAATATATATATACACGCATAAAAAAAGCAAAAGATTAAATGAAAAAAGAGAAAAAAAATAGGACTAAAGAGGTTAATGAAAAAAGAAAAAGAAATACATGCATAAAAAAAGAGATTGAATGAAGAAAAGAAAGAAATAGGACTAAAAGAAAATGATAGAAGTTTGGGTGTAAAAAAGGTCGAACTCATACCAACTCAATGGAAAAAAATGAGGGAGCGCCTTCTACCAAGTATCCAAAGGGTCGAACTCATAACACCTCATTGCAAAAAAAATGAGGAAGCACCTTCTACCCAACTAAACTAAGGTCATTCACAATGGTAGTCGTACGAGGGTTTAATAGATTAAATATGAATATAATATAGAGAAGAGACAGTATGGAGTTGAATGGTCATACAACTGTGCAATAGATTTCTAATGAAAGTTTATGATTTTTTTAAGAATTAAAGTGAATGCCTACATTCTCTTTTCTACTTGGCAATCCATAGAACTCTCCATAGGGTTAATCCATTGGAGATAGCCTAAGGATGATATTTAAATTTTCTTACATAAACAGATAAATTCGTTAATTTTTTTTCCTACATTTTGTAGACGAAATCGAATAGTGAAACGGGACCCCTCGGTACCCATGTCTAGGGGTGTTCGTTTGGATGGATCGGTTTAATCTGATACGATCAAATGAATCCAAAATAATTTCGGTTTTTAAAACATAGATCCAAATCGTCCAAACTAAATTCAAATCCGATCCGATCCAACCAAATTATAATTCGGTTGGATCGGTTTTTTAGAATTCGGTTTTCAAGAATCAAAACATTTCAACAAATATATAACTTCAGTATTAACTTACTCTATAATATAAACTAAAAAAATATTGTTTAATTAGTTGTGAATTAAAACTTATAAATAACTATCAAGAAAAATATATTATATATTACTATTTTATAGACAATTTTTTTTTATAAGAAGTAGATATTAAAGTATTATAAATGATGAAAATTTTTAATATACTAAAAGAATAATTTAGTAAATTTATAAATTATTAAAGATATATATTAGAAAGAACAAAATAATAAATTGCAATTCGGTTTTTTTGGACTATTCGGTTTTTATAATGTAAACCAAAACCAATCCAAAATAATAATTCGGTTTTGCTAAAAATCAATCCAAAAATCCGAATATCCGAACCAAATAGTCTGATCCAAATTGTCCAATTGAACAATTCGGTTTTATCCAAATAGTGAACAGTCCTACCCATCATGGACTTACATTGTTGTAAACTAGTTGGACCCTTGTGGGACATTCGTGTAACCTCACATATGGGAATTAAGCATTATAAACCTGTATAAGTTTTTTGTATATCAGAGTTACTTCAAAATATAAATTTGGAATATCTTCTAAATGATAAAGCGCTATGCACGTCGTAAAATGAGAACATAAAGCTTATTAATTGTCACAAAAAAACATACATATGTGGTACTTTTATGATTATGGAGCCATAGAGGACGATCATTTATTTAAATCTTCATTGATAATATCCGCCTCAAGATTTTCAGTTCAATAAGCCACAATAATTCTTAAGACCATATGTGTCTTTCTTTACGCCGGACATACAGAAGTACTCCATGAACTCTCCGTAATCAAAAGGCTTGAACAGCAACGGATGCTCTTCGTCCACCATCTCTTTTGGGGGCTTCACGGTTGTGCCGATTTTTGGCAACGAAAATAAACCAACCGAAAGTCGAGTCTTGCTAGCATTCATCACCACCCTATGGAATGGAGCATGCAATCGCCCATTTGACAAAACCTGCATCGTCAACATCATGAACTTAATATATATACTTACGATATGAACTACTACAAATTTGCTTTCAAGATGTGCAGGTGTGTAAGTAAGTTTGACCTAAGTTCATGAATTAAATATACTTACGTTAAAGCTTTCTCCTGCCATGACAACAAATGAATTCGGTGAAACATTTACCGTAATCCAATCACCATCTTTTGTTCGAATCTCCAGCCCTTGAATACCATTTTGATGTAGAATAGTGAGGATACTTGTATCAGCATGAGAATCTAATCCCATATTAGATTCACTTGGATCTGCAACTCGATATTTCATCACCTTCAGATGGTAATTCGTTGCTTCCAAGTGGTCTTCCAAGTATTTCTCCAAATTCAACCCTTCAAACACCATTGTCTTCACCATTTCATCCAATTCCCACAGCTTCTTCGAGTACGTCTGGATTGTTTTCCTGCATACCACAGTTGTATATAAGCTTTTCTCATTCACGTATTTTGAATAGACCTGGCAATTCGTGTATTCGTGTCATGAAAACGTGTCAGCCATGAATTTGACACGATACGATTACAAGATGAGAAATAAGTTTTATCTCAATTTTTAAGATGTATTCGTGTCGTGTCGTGTCTCTCACAGATTCGTGTCTAATTGTCAGGTCTAATCTTGAAATTAAACTATGAATTAATAAACAAAATAATAGTTTATGCACATACGAAAACTTGGGGTTCCCTTGTGACCACATGAGACTGGTGAAGTTGTCAACTTTTTCTAGGACGTAAGGTGCGTCGATGCCCATGCTTTCGTAGAGGGGCATGAATGCGATTTGTCCTATATAGCCATGAAAGTCACGATCAGAGGTGTTTTTTTGCTTGGTTTCCAGTGGGAGATCGAAAAGCTGTTCCAGTTCATGAAATACGGAGTTTTGAAGGTCGGGTGAGATCTTATCAAAGGATGCTTCGAAGCAACCATATTCTTGAAGGGCTTGAAGGGCTACGGTTTTTGCAGAATACCAGATAAGATCGCCTGAATTCTGGATGTTCAGCTCTGAGAAATTAACCACAGGAAGTTGAAATGGTGTTTCTGAACCCATCTTCGTTTGAATCTTTCTTCTTCACTGAGTTTCTAACTACTAAAACATTTTCTTTTATAGTGCATTCATAAAAGATTTATCTTTGGTAAAAAACATAAACCAGCGAGAAAAACTGAATCTAACGTAACAACCAATTTTAAGAATCCCCATACTTTTGGCTACGTACGTCGACTCTTTATTCTTAAGTTGAATAAAAAAGAATTTAATTTGGCAGCTACTTCATAGATTAATCAGAAATATTTAATATTAGTTAATTTTGTAAGAACCTAAGAACATATTTCTTGTAGCCTAACGTAACCTATGGTGATGGTGGGTCCATTGAGACTCATATATATATATATATATATATATATATATATATATATATATATATATATATATATATATATATATATATATATAAATAAATGTTGTTGTCCGGATAATTGACCATATTTTGATTATTAATACGATATATAATGACCGCTACTCCAAAGAGTATTACACCCTTGATCGTAAAATATCGATTCCTGTTGAACCTTGTGTTGAATCGGGTATAGAACCAATAGGCAACGTTTGGTTACAATTTAGAATCCGCTATCATCTCACACAGCTCCTAACTGATAAAAGAAAGAAGAACTCGTCTTCTTTCTTTTTTGATTACCTTCCTCGCGTATGTATAAGACCGAATCCATTTGATTTCTAAAAAAGGACCAGAAAAACTTTCTAGTTATTTGTTTAAAATATATTTAAGAAAATAATGGTATGTTATCGATAACGTGATAAATGGACATGTCATTAATGTGTTATTAAAAAATGTTTGTTTATTGGAACCGGTTTATCTTTCTTCTTTCAGAGTCTAATATTATTGTTATTTTTAAAAGATTAAAGCTTATGATTGTTGCATTAAAAAATATTAAAATTGAAATACATTGTAATCTTTTGTTTTTGTTTATCGATGGAAATCATGGAATAGATAACCATTCCATTCGTAGGCCATGAATGAAAACCAATGTTTTAAAAACTGGTTTTTTAGTTGAACCGGTATGGTGATCGGTTCCCGGTTCAACCGGTTTAACCAGTTCGACCGCCGGGTCAACCGGTTTCTATAATTTTCATCTCTTTTCTTATTTTTCTACACATACATACATATATAAATTTGATGTTTACTAGTTCAAACATTAAAAAATACATAAAAATAAGTTGTAGATCAATCTAAATACATTAAAATAACACATAACCATAAGTTTTAGTGTTTTACATCAATCCATATACGTAAAAAAGAAAATAAAATATAATACAGAAAAAAATATAATTTTAGATGAATACAAACACATCAAAAAACATTATAACATTTACCATATATTTTTATTTAGAGAAAACTAAATAGATTTGAAAAAAATCATCAAAGTTTATTAAGCAAATAGTCCTTTTCCATGTGTTTTTATTCGGTTTAACCGGTTCAACGAGTTTATTTTGACAGGTTCAACCGGGTTTTCCTAAAAACCGGTCGGTTCAATCCAATTCAGAAATCGATATAAAACCGGTGATAGTTGAACCGTTCTCTCCCCCGATTCCCAGTCCAACCGGTTCGACCGGCCGGTTCAAACTAGTTTTTAAAACATTGATGAAAACTCACCATATAAAATGAATAACATTTTCAAAGGTATGATCTTATAGAGAAGAACAAATATGGAAGTTGTGTTTCCAAAAAAGTAGTATAGGAAACAATAACCAACGCCCTTTACTTTGACTTTGCCATTATTTTTAACCTTGATTTTTATAATTTTATTTGGAAACCTATAATTTTCCAACGTGATCTTAATTGGTTTTATTTGAATTTTTATATACTATTTTTTTTTTGTTTTAGTTTAATTCTGACTTTATTAAATGTTATTAAAATAATATATATATATATATATATATATATATATATATATATATATATATATATATATGTTATTAAATGTTATTAAATAATATATATATATATATATATATATATATAATATTTGAAGCAAAAATTAGATAAAAAACATATAGATGTGATACTAACAGTATCAGAATCGGATAAATATCTTTATTTGTGTCATACTATACCATAAACTAAAAAAATTATTATTTTTAATTAATGTTGTAATATAAAAAGTTCTTACGGTCATCATCAGTAGAGTCGAAAATGATGAGTTTATGACTGCAAATGCACCACCACAAATAAAATAATTGTAACATCTCAAAATTCATGACCAAAAATTTCATTTTTAATTTAATGATTCATAAAACAGATTACTGAAAATATCATCAATGTTATCTCATATCATGAAAAACCATAAGTCAAACATCTCAAAAGCATATCATATGAAAATAATGTCAGAGTACAAATACCAAGAATCTCGTGTGCGGAAAATTGTATGTGTGATGCGCTGCAGTCATGCCGGCCCCTTCCCTTTCGAAGAAGAAGTGTCTGAAACCAAAACTGAAAACCGTAAGCACGAAGCTTAGTGAGTTCCCCCATCATACCACATAAACACATATTGTCAGACATATCTGGGTGCCCGACCTACCCTACTGAGCATACCTGGGTGCTCAACCTATCCATGTTAGGCATACCGGGGTGCCCAACCTACCCCTATCAGATATACCGGGGTGTCCGACCTACCCTTGTCAGGCATATCTGGGTGCCCGACCTACCCTCCGGTTTATCTCAACCGGTTACGGGGACTATTTCACCCCTACCACTACCACATAATAACATATCATAAACATACTGTTAGGCATATATGGGTACTGTCTACCCCTTCGGTCTCTTTCAACTGGTAACCGGGGACTATTTCACCCCTCCTACCACTATCACATAATATCATAGCATACTAGCACATAAAGCATAACAGATAGTGACATACCAGAGAATTATCACAAAGACAATCATCCCTACTATAAGTACCTACTAGTGGGTCGGCATTGGTGCCTTAGACCCACTTCTACTAGAAGGTAACTCACCTCATGCTGTTGAACTCCACTGCAAGAAATCCTTAGCTGTTGTCCTGGCAACTCCTCGAGCTATCAATACCAAAATATCATCCAATTAGCAATTGGGTTCTATACCATGGTCCATAATCCATACTTGGGGTAAAATGACCATTTTACCCCTGGACCACAAGATACTTAACTAAGGCCCAAGTCCAAAACCAATCAAGTCCAAAACTCCAAAATCCATAAAGATCCACTAATTGCCCAATTTTCCAATTTGGGCCCAAACCCTTTCATGGGCCTTTCCCTAAAGCCCATTTTTTTCTTAATCATTATACATGTCCATAGATATGTTGGGTTATGAGCATTACGTCAATCCTATGGTGTATATGCAAACCCTAATGCTTGGATCTAGTTTTTCTAATTGTACATGCAATAATGTCCAAGACTTGCAAACCCTAATCTAGCATACAATAAAAATCAAAATCAACATAATTAAACTAGTAAGAATGTTACCTTTGATTGTAGCTTGAAGATCTTGAGCTTTTAAGAACTTTACCACCTCAAGTGTGATGCCTCTAATGAATCACAAACACCAAAGCAATTGGATGATCTTGGAGAGAGAAGGGGAATGCTCAAAATCGGCTCTATGATCTCTAGGGTTCAAGTGGTAGCCCAAATTATGAAGCGTAGGGTCCTTTATATAGGTGAGGAATTAGGGTTTCAGTCAAAGACCTCATCCGGTTGCTTAGGCTCTAAGCAGCCCACAAGAATCTTCCAGAACCTTGGCCCTTGGACGAAATCCTTATGGGATCCCATAAGATTTCGTCCAACCCCTTCAAAAGGATTCCTCGGCACATTATACAATTATCTTATAATTACAACTTCAGTCCCTTTAATTCAATTAACCTCTTTTGACCACGAATTAATTCTAAATTAATTCTTGACCAATGTTAATTAAATAATATGATTTCCCTTTTAATATATTATTCATATAATATATTAATAAACCATAATAACCTCTTTCTCCATTATTCATCCAGTCAAGTTGCTCTGGTGAAGGCAACCCAAAAGGACCATGCTACAGTTGGGTCAAGTATATACCAAATATAGTTATGGGCTTAGACACCTAATCCAACAGTCTCCCACTTGGATAAGTCTAATAACTATAAATGCAAGTATGACTTCAAAAACCGATTAGCAATCGTAGCTCTCAAAAGCCGCTATCAAACTCTGACACGTCCTTTAGATAAGGGATCGTATATTCCTCCGTTCTCAAGATATCGTGTGGACAATCACATGGGATATAGTCATACTCATTGTCCAGCAGTTTTTTTTCTCAATCTCTGATCTGTCTGACATAGAACTTAATTGAGCACATCAATTTAGTCCTGACCGGGCCCGACACATAAGTCAAAACAAAATCCTCGAGGGGCCCAAGATATCACTTTTAACCTCGTAGGATAAAAGGAACAGATAAACTTTGACTTGTATACTTGTACTATTTACTCATCAAATCGTACACAACAATGCGCTTTATAACATCAAGTTACTATTGCGTTTACGCATTATCAATGCACAACCGACTCATAAACAACAACTCATATATCTAGGTTTAAAGACTATATGATATTATCATCTTACAATCACTCGTGATTAATTCCATGAAGTGATTCATGTGAGTGCGGGTTTGATCCAATACTCAAATCATATTTCATAAGCACTCATGAACGTTGCAGCAAACTTTTGCTATGTCTAAATGCTTCGACAGTCTACAAGCCAATTCATAACAGTCTTCTTTCATACTTACTTCCAAAGTATGATCGACGGTGGATAGTTTAAATAATCTTATTATTTAGGAAGTCAAAACATGCAAAGTGAAACAATAATAAATAATTGACACAAGACAGTAACATTACTTATAAATAAAACACCTTTATTTAATCATCAAAATGTCAATTACAATTTATCTATTACAAGTTTCTAAAAGCTATCTAATCACTAAAACTAATATCGTCCTTCGCCCAATGCTCCTAGCGTTCTGCAAGTGC